GGGGGTTAATGTTACAGTGTACGAGTGTCATATTTCTTCATGATTCTATACATTTTCCTCCACGTGGCCCGTCTGCGCTGGGGAACCTTGATGCGTGACGGTTGGCAAGTTCTGCACCTCATTTCTAGTCACTGCTTCATGCGCGGGTTAATCACTGTAGTTCCTTAGAGATCACTAACCTTGTTCATTCGTCTCACTTATGTCTGATGTCATTTTAATGAAAGAGATGTGGGGTTTAGAGAGCAGTTTTTCGGTAACATCTGAGAAAAGTTTCAGCGGATCTCCCCTTTCAGCAGCTTTCGGGCAGTCTCCCCATGAGACAAAAGACATTTAGTTATATCCAAAAGGGCAGGTTTGTTATAAGGACACGTGTGAGGTCAGTTTTGTAGATCTTGGGTTCGAGAACGGGGTCCTTGGGTTGACACTAGGAAGAGCTTCACCAGAGCTCCCCTTTCATGGCACAGGTGAGTTTCTCCACAGGACAGAGATGTCAGTTGTATTCAAAAGGGCAGGTTTATTATAAAACAGAGAGAAGAATGAAGGACACTTGCATATAATGGAGGACAGGGATTAAAAAAAAAATAAACTAAAAAGGAGGTGCCACAAGACCAGAAACCTGCTCATGCAGGTTGGGGGAAGAGGGCATTAGCATAGCCATTGACACAGCTTTAGAAACCAAGAGCCTTAGGCGCCAACGCCTAGATTACAAAGTGTAAGACCCAAGCTGGTTTCAGGCTGCTGTAGGGAGTGTCCACAGCACTGGCCCAAGGGTAAAGATATGGAGATTGAGCCCATTGTGCCATCTCCTGCCCTTTTCAGATTCTGCAGGTATCCCAAATCAGCAACTATAGGAAAGCCTCCCAAGGAGTGAGCCCCTCCCAAACAGAACAGGAGTATCAGTGCAGTCTCTATACAGGCTCCTGGCCTCTGCCCACCTGTGATTATACAGAAGCTTCTTTTCACCAGCTCTCCCCTGCAGAGAGAGAGCTGCCCGTGACCTGCACGATGCCTGGACTTCACTTCACTGATGTCCCTCAGCAGAGGCAACTCTCCACAAGGCCACCCGCCTGCGACCATGCAGGCCTCTCTTAGCAAACCTGTCCCTTTCAGGGCAGCTCTTCCTGCCCGCTTGTGTCTATACAAGTGTCCTTTATTCTTCTGACCTTTTTCCCTAATAAACCTGCCCTTTAAATATAACCAATGTCTCTGTGCCATGGAGAATCTCACCTGGGAAACCCTCTAGTGCTGCTAAAATGGGAGCTCTGGTGAAACTGTACCAGGATGGTTCCCAGGAAAAGGGGAGGTTCCATGTTTGCTGCCCCACCCAAGGGAGGGTGGAGCTGTGCAGAGAGAGGAGAAGCTGCAGAGGAGTCTGAGAAGCAGGATGGAGCCAGAAGGAGACCTGGAGGAAGCACATGGAGGTGAGTAACACGTGAAGAAACTGCGCTTGCCTTTTGGTCGTGGACTGGGTGACACAGATGTGGGTGAGAGACCCGTGGGGAAGTGACAATGGCAGTTTTTGTCTTGATTTTGATTTTGCTCTTTTCCTTCCAGACTTGTCTGGCTGTTTCTGATGCTTTTCTGTGGGTCCCCACTGGAAGATGCTTTAGACTTGTGGCAGGCTTTGGGGCCTTGTTCTGGGCCAATCCTGCTTGGGTGAACTTTTACCCATGAGGGGACGGGTAACTTTGGGTGCTTGATTTAGAAACTAGATTCTTTGTCTTTTCTGTATTGTTTCCTAATTGTATTAAAGTTCCTTCCCATTAAAGTCTCCTATGTTTTGTGTTGATGCGATGCAGCGGATGGCAGATCCTGTTTAAGAGCCAGCAGGTTTGTGGGGCCTGGGGTGCCTCTCCCTGCCCTGTACCAGACTTGGCACCCAATGTGATTTAGAACAGAGCCGTCCGTGGTTATGTTAGGGGGAAAAGGATGGCCTAAAGCTAAAAAGATGTCCTAAAGCTAATCCCATACAGGCTTTGTGGACTCCACCCCGCTAACAGTCAGCCCCATGGGGAAATTGGGCTTTCCTATGGCACTGGCTACCAGAAGCGCAAATATGATTTTTGGTTTCTCTAGTGTGTTTGTTTCATATGTACATTTGCTGTTGAAAAACTGGCTTGGCCTTTGTGAAGATTTTGTGTGTGTCTGTGTGTAATTTATTTGTAGTGACTTGCTGAGAAATTTGATTTTGTGGAAATTATCCTGTGCAAAAGATTTACTCAAAAGATTAGGTAGTAGGTTGGCCCATGTGGCCAGGTCACAGATGGTGTCTGAGGCCACTTGGTGGGCTTGTGTAAAACTCAGAGGTTCTTGTTGCTAGGACTTCAGACTTTTTTTTTATTTTGGTGATCTCTGCTGTCTCATTAGCATTTCTAAAGGCAATAATGACTCTTAAGTGATGTTGATTTGTCTTCCACTACTTCCTCTGCCTGAGGGGTTTTGCAAGCCAAGGGTGCAGCAGTGGTGTTTAAATGAGCAAATGTATGCCTGGGTGTTAAGGAAAGAGTACTCTTAAGCAGTAAAAGCTAATTGCTGTTAGAGCCTACTTGAATTTTTGCAAAGTCTGGATCAGAAAAATTAAAAAAAATTTGTCTGAGTCTGAAAGGATTTGCTGCTGTGAATTTTGTCTACACAATTTGTTTTGGGCATGTTTGCCATTTGAATCCTGGATTTCTCCAATTGCAGGTTGAAAGCTTCGGCGCAGTGAAGAAAAGGAAAGCCAGGCTAAATTTCTCAAAGGAAGGGAAAATTAATTGGACCCCGGGCGGATCTCACGGACCCAAGGTGGGGTTCCGTGAAAGGTCAGTTGGAAACTGGATTCCTACAGCGGGAAAAAGTTTGTAGGGCTGGGGGGGAGTTTGAGAAAATGTTGTAGAGCAACCCCGATACAAAACGGGGTGCCTGACTGTGGGTCCTCACCCGGGGCTTAAAAGGACTTATCAATGTTCTACTGCAGGCACAGGTGAAAGGTTAATAAAAGGTTTATTTACAAGGGAAGGGGATATGAGGAAATGTACAGCTCTGGGAGAACAGTGGGAGACAAAGTTTTAAATGAGTCCTACCCAATCCGCTGATCAGGAATCCCAAATGGCGCTCTGAGAGCTGGCCGCCAGCCAGGAGCCCTGAAGCCAGGAGGCCAGCAATTGCGAGCCAGAGAGAGCCCCAGGCCCGCGTGTTTGGCTTTTATATCCAACCTGGCTACCCAACTCCACCCTCAGGTCCCAGCCACCCTCCCTTGGTGGTGATGGGATTTGTCTTGATGGCTTTAGTCTGGAGTGGGGGTGGGGTCCACAAAGCCTGTATGGGATTAACTCAGGACATCATTTCCCCCTAACAAAAAGATTTGTGGCGGAGTTGACTCATTGTTTGAATGCTCTAGGTAGGCTTCCCCATGCCTGTTCCCAGGTGGGCCTCCTGGTGGGTTTTTGCATTCAGGCCTCCTGCATGGACCTTTCAGTTTCAAGTGAGGAACATTTATTGAGGTCACACTAGAAGAGGGCAGGCAGCAGCCACGCTGAGCCACACTTCCTGGTTGAGAGCATCAAGGATCCTGCTTTATGAGGCTCATCATCAGACTGGGCTAGTGGGAAGTAGGGTATTGGCTGGCCTTGGGTTTTCTAGCTTGGGTTTCAGGGCCTTTAAGCACCCATACATGCTTTACCTGGTCTCACATTAACACCCTCCTATGACAAGGGAAAGTGCATCCCAGCTGTTAAGGTTTTGAGCAACAGGAAGGTAACATAGAAGGACCAGATTCCAGGGCCCTGTAATGACATTATTATGCATACTTTTTTTTTTTTTTTTTTTAATGGGACCTTCTCAGCGGCTGGGAACGAACCAGCGCTCTAGAGGCTGCGGGCAGTCTCACAACTCCACTGAGGTACCAGGGGAGGCCCTCTGCAAACTATTTTACCCATGGCCAAGTGAAGGAGGAATTAGGTTGGGCATGTACGCAGTTAAGGTTACTGGCCCAGCCTCGAGATGGCTTTCTAAAATGTGCAAGAAGCAGGACTTCTATAAGCTGATCCACATGTTGCAGAGACGAGTTAGGGAGTAGGCCAGACTCTGGGGGGATGAAAGACTTCACCAGAGACAGACTAGAGAACAGAAAAGAAGAATTTATTGAAATACACAAGTGAGAGGAGCAGGGGCCAGATGTGAGCAGCCTGAGGCTGTTTCTGCTCCAGGCACCATTGATTGGATGGGTGACTAGTCTTGGGTGTGTCCTGACTCTGCATCTAGATCCTCAGCTTAACCCATTTCCTCTGGCCACCCCGCCTTATCCAGTCAAGCCTCCCCACTTTGCCTATTGAACAAGGAGTGGCAGCCATTTTTAACTTTAATAAAGGCACCACACCATAAAGCGAAGTCTTTGTGGGCACAGGGTAATGCCATTTGCACATTCCATAAAACCAGATATTCAGCCAAGAATGGCTGGCTCCCGGACTCCACAGATGACCTATTCAACTAGATAATACATGTCTTCCTTTTCTGCCTAACTCTGGTCTTCAAGATGAATTCTTTTCTCATGGAGATGAGGACCAAGTAGCTTGGAGTCCAGGAACAGTACTTCCTTGTTTCCTTCTTTTTTAAAGATTTATTTATATATGCATACAAGAATTTTGGGGTACAGGCCAGAGGTGAGGGGTAAGAGGATTCACCAAAAACAGAGTGGGGAGCTGAACAGGAAGATCTACTAACATACGCTGCTGAGGGGTAGTAGTGGGTGAGACAGGAGAGGTCCTGCACTATGTGGGTAGGTCCCTGGCCCAGAGATGAAACTCTGCTGCAGATAGCTTCATAGTGCTGTGCTTAACCCCTTGCATCACAAGGGAGGCCCTCCCCTTTTTTTTTTCTTAAATATTTTATCTTATCTATCCTTGTTTTCTATACAATTAGAATTGTATCCTGGCTTTCTCATTTGTTCCAATACAGCCTTCTCAAATATACAGGGATCTGTGAACAAGAGACTCAAGCCAGGATAGCGAGCAGTAGGAGCAATGGCTATGGCATCAAACATCTTAGTGAACATCCAGGAGGAGGTGACCTGCCCCATCTGCCTGGACCTCTTGAAAGAGCCCCTAAGCCTAGACTGTGGCCACAGCTTCTGCCGAGCCTGCATCACAGCAAACAATAAGGAGTCTGCGGCAACCCGGGAGGAGAAGAGCAGCTGCCCTGTGTGCAGAATCAGTTACGAGCCTGGGCACCTGCGGCCTAATCGGCATCTGGCCAACATAGTAGAGCAGCTCAGAGGAGTCAAGATGAGCCCAGAGGGGGAGCAGGAGAAAGAGCTCTGTGTGCGCCATGGAGAGAAACTCCTGCTCTTCTGTAAGCAGGATGGGAAAGTCATTTGCTGGCTTTGTGAGCGGTCTCAGGAGCATCGTGGTCACCAGACCTTCCTCATTGAGGAGATTGTCCAGGAGTACAAGGTAGGAGAGCAGAATGCAGTTAAAACAGCAGAATATATAATTGATGGGAAATCTCCTCCTGGTTGCCTTGTCAGCATAGTTTAGATGTCTGTGATCTCTTTTCTTTCTTTTTTTTTTTTTTATAGAGGCATGTTTCTTTCTTTCTTTCTTTCTTTGTTTGTTTGTTTGTTTACACATGCACTGGGTACAGTCAGAAGCGCGGGAGGGTGAGAGAATTCACCAGAGCCAGAGCGGGGAGCAGAGGAGGCAGAAGGACTGAAGCACACTGCTGAGGGGAGCAGCGGGCGGCAGGAGAGGTCTGCGCGCCATGTGGGACCCTCCTCTGGTGGCCGGGGAGCAGCCGGGGATCAAACTGGTGCCACAGAGGTGGCGGGCAGCTTCGCAACCCAGCGGTCAACCGCTGCGCCACCGAGGAGGCCCTGTGATCTCTTTTCTTATGGTGTTGAAACAGGGGAAGATTCCCCCACTACTCTAAGTTCTAGGGCTGGATGAGCAAGGAGATTAACATCAGACAGCTTAGAAGGAGAAAAAGACCGCATTTAGTAACATACACGTGGAGAATTTACATGAATATAAATACTGAAATAAAATGGGATAGATGCAGTGTTTATTTATTTTAAAAAATTTATTTATTAATGCATATAAGAACTGGGATACAGGGCAGAGGTGTGGGGGGTGAGAGGATGCTCCAGAGACAGGGGGGATCAGAACCGGCACACTGACTGAAACACACTGCTAAGGGGAACGGTGGGCGAGACAGGAGAGGTCTGCTGTGCCATGTGGGTCACCTCCCTGGCAGGAGATTGAACTCATGCTGCAGTGGCTGGGGATGACTTGATAGCACTGAAACTTGAGGCCCAGATCCAGTATTTATAACCTCCCTTAGGGATGAGTTAGGAGCCTTGGGTGTCAAAGAGGGAGGATCTCACGGCACCAGGAGGGGACAATATCATATGATACAAACTTGCCTTTAGATATTTGCTTTTCTCCTGTAAAAATCTTTTTCTAGGGTCCTCTTGTGGCATAGGGGTTAAGTCTCAGCCCTATCATCATAATGGTCTGAATTCGATCATGGACCAGGGAGCTGACCCACACATGGCACAGCAGACTTCTGTCTAGCCCACTGCTCCCCTCAGCAGTGTATTTCAGCAGATTCTCCTGTTCTGCTCCCCACTCTGTTTCTGGTGGATGCTCTCACCCCCTTCACCTCTGACCTACACCCCAGTTCTTCTGTGCATAAATACATAAATAAAATCTTTAAAAAATAATCTATTTCTAGAGATGTTGCTAATTCTGGGTCATCTCTTTAAGTTAACACTTCCTCATGAGACTCAAAACATTTGATTTATCTTAGTTCTACCTAATAAGAGGACACAAATTGATTTTCCAGCTTGGAAAAAGCTGGGGGGAGAGAAACACTTGGATCACCTTTCAATGTTGAGGACATTTCTTTGCCTCCAGCATGGTTACAAGAGACTTATTTATAGTCAGAAGTAGGTGTTTTGAAGTAGGTGTTAAATGGGAGAGGAGGGGCTTTTGTACTCCTGAAAATCCATCATTCCCTTTGCACATGAAGTGAAACTGAGGGACTGGGTAGATTGAGATGTTGCCACTTTGCTGCAGGATCAAATTTCTCCTCTAGGACAAATAGAGTCATCCTGTCTTGGGGAAGGGATGGTGAATTCTCTCAGACTTCTGCCTGAGACTTAATACGTTCACAATTCAGATTTTGTATGTCATAGGTTCTCATTGATATTTTCAGTTTCTGTGACTCTTATGTTTCGAGATCATCTGATTACTTCCTCCATGACCTGTATTCAGATGTTGAGAAAGCCCATTGCTTGACCCTGGCTTGATTCCCCTCTCACAGGAGAAGCTCCAGGGCACCCTGGAGCAGATGAGGGAAAAGCTGCAGGAATCTGGACATTTGGAAGCTGAAGTCAAAGAAAGGACAACTTCCTGGAAGGTAGTGTTACGGAGCAACCCCGATATAAAACGGGTTGCCTGGCTGTGGGTCCTCACCCATGCACTTTAAAGGGACTTATGAATACTCCACTACAGACACACACAAAAGGTTAATAAAAGGTTTATTTACAAGGGAAAGGGAATTAAGGAAATGTACAACTCAGGCAGAAAGTAGGGAAATAATGTCTTTAATGCATCCTACCCGATCCTCCGACCTGGAAACCCAAAGGCACTCTGAAAGCTGGCTGGACGCTGTGAGCTGGCTGAGAGCCAAAAATGGGGGATTCCCAAAGCCCACGTGTCTGCCTTTATACCAAACCTGGCTGCTTAACCCCACATTCAGGTCCCAGCCACCTTCCCTTTGGTGGTGATGGGATTTGGAGTTCCAAGTGTCTTTAGGCTTTGGTCTGGACTGGGGGTAGAGTCCACAAAGCCTGTTTGGAAATAGCTTTAGGACATTCTTTTCCCCCTAACAATAGGAGGAGGCTCTTTCTGAGGGGTTTAGACAGAAATCTGATAGAATTTGGGTGATAACATGAGGAACTTCCTATCTTTTTGTTATTGTATCATTAACAATCCCACAGTGATTTGATTATCCTTCTCTTCATCATTTCCCTGATGGAGGAGAGGATTGAAAAGTGAACCTGGCACAGGTGAATGGGTCTTTGGAGGGAAGGTTCATATGGAGGGACACTGGCCAGGACGGCAGTGCAGTTCCTGTTCCATACCCATTATGTGTTTGAGTCTTTGACTCTCCTGAGGGAAGCCATTCGGCCATAGCTCTGGGCCAGTGTTCCATTTTGGCAGAGGGTGAGTGGTGCTGTCAGGAGTAGTCCAGCTTTGTGAACGTGGACACCTACCCAGTTGCTCTGTTTGGCTCAGGGTTGGACTCAGTGCTGCAGACTTGAGGGAATTATTTTGGAATACAATAGAGGGGAAGTAATAGGTGAAGAGCATCTTTAAGAATTGTTCTCTTGCTCTGTCTCACTTTGCTGTGAGAACTTTCCATTTACAGTGGTGCTGGTTCTGGTTCCTAGTCTCTGCCTGATGGGTTGAGTACCGCCTTTCTTTTCTCCCTAAGAGTCAAATACAAAGTGAGAGACAAGGTGTCCAGGCAGAGTTTGCAGAACTGAGAGGTCTCCTGGACTTGGCGGAGCAGAAGGAGCTACAAAACCTGAATAAGGAGGAAGAAGTCATTCTCCATAAACTGGCAGAGGATGAGAGTGAGCTCGTTCAGCAGAGCCAGTTGATATCAGTTCTCATCTCAGATCTGGAGCATCGATTGGAAGCGTCAGACATAGACATGCTGCAGGTAATGTTACAGGACAGGGAGAGGGGCAGTCCAGACCCCGGGACCTGCCTGCTCTAAATAGGTTCTGACATCCCCACATCAACACAAAACACATGAGACCAATGAAAAGGAACTTTAATACAATTAGTAAACAATACAGGAAAGACAGAGAATATAGTTTTCAAGTCAAGCACCCACAGTTACCCATCCCCTTGTGGGTAAAAGCCCCCCTAAACAGGATAGGCCGAGAGCAAGGCCCCAAAGCCTGGCACAAGGCCAAAGCACCTTTCAGTGGGAACCCACAGAAAAGGATCAAACCACCAGAGAAGTCTGGAAAGAAAAGAGCAAAACCAAAATCAAGGTAAAAGCTGCCACTGTCTAATCCCCATGGGTCTCTCACCCACATCTGTTTCACCCAGTCCACTACCTACAGGCAAGCGCAGTTTCCTCACGTGTCTTTCTACTCCATGTGTCTCCTCCAGGGCTCCTTGTGGCTTCATCCTGCTGTCTTCTTTCTCTTCTCTTTAGCTCCACTGTCCTTTCGGTGGGGCAGGGAACTTGGAACCTCCCTCTTTCCTGGGGACCACCCTGTTACAGTAAGATCTGAAAAGAAACCTCAGCTTCTGAGATATGAGAACAATGATGACAGATTTCCCTCCCCTTCTGTATTGCTGTGCTCTTTCTGGTGTGACACTAAGGTTCTTCTGCTCTGCAGTGTGCTTCCTGCATTTATAGGAATAATTGAATGCATAAATAACAAGGGGAAAACCTTGTTTTTATTAATGTATCAAGTACAGTGCAATTGTGTGAGCTTGGAATGAAGATGCATTTTATTTAGGTGTATTGGATATCCCTCTGTTATTGCCTGCTACTGTTACACATTTATTAGTTAAATCGAGTGAAGCTTAGTCCAGATAAACAGATGCACTTCAGAGTCTTAACAAGCATTTTTTTCCCCCTCATAGAATGAGTAGAGATTTTTCCCCCTTGTTTTTCTATTTTTTGAGAGGAATTATTGAAGGCCTGGTATTTATATTTAATCAGTGGAATTCACAAAATGATGTCTCATTCTGGCTCTTTTGTGTGAAAGGGTACATATATGTGCGTATATAATTATATATGTATATAACTATATATAATTTACTTTTTAATTTTTTTAAATAATTTTTGTGTCCGTTTTTGGCAATGTGTTTCTTCATAGGAGTTTGGCTAAGTTGTGTGCTTTGTAGATGCAAAGATATTCATAATAATTCTTTATCATCCCTTCAATTCCTACAATATTCACTGTAATGTCCCCTTGATTCCAAGCAAAATCAAGGGGCTTCACTGGGACTCCATACTCAAAAGAGGAATAACCCATGTTGTCTATTCTAGGGGTTCTTGTTACCTGGTCCGTAAAGGCAAAGCAACCCAAATTGTGTACTGAAATGGTTTTAATTGGTTTGCCAAAGTGCTGGAAGGCAAAAGAGAACAGCAGGTGTAGGAGGGATGCAGCTAAAAGCCTCCTAAGCAACAAAAGTGGCAATCTGAAGTAGGATCCCCCCCAAATAAGGGGGGGTAGATCTTCCAGACCCCTCCTGCCTTTTTTTAATTAATATTTTATTTTATATAATTCTTACATTTTTCATTTGTGTACAATGTATGCGTTTTGATTTTGGTTATATTCCCCATGCAATTGCCCCTCCCCTTTATTTTGACCCTAGTTCTTCCTCTCCCCTTCCCTCTCCCCACCCCCTATAGTGTGTCTCTGGTTTAGAGTTGCTTGTTGATTTTGATTTTTACTTTGTATTAATTAGTCTTTTTCCCGGTCCCTTGTTTAGGTTTTCTAAAATTCCTGCTATGAGTGAGACCATCCTGTATTTTTCTTTTTCTTTCTGACTTATTTCGCTGAGCTTGATCCCATCTAGCACCATCCATGCTGCTGCCAACTGCATGTTTATCTTTTTTGATTGCTTAGTAATATTCCATTGTGTGTATGTACCACATCTTGATCCAGTCTTCTATTTTCTTGGCATTTGGTTTGTTTCCATAGCTTAGCTATTATAAATAGTGCTGCTATAAACATAGGGGTGCAGGTGCTCTTTGGAATTGATGTTTCTGTGTCCTTTGGGTAAATACCTAGGAGTGGAATTGCTGGATCATATGGAAGCTCTATGTTTAGTAGGTCCAGAAATCTCCACACAGCTCCCTATAGTGGTTGGACCAGTTTGCACTCCCACCAGCAATGCAGGAGAGCTTCTTTTTCTCCACAACCTCGCCAACATTTGTTATTCCTAGTTTTTTTGATATGTGCCATTCTCACTGGTGTAAGATGGTATCGCATTGTAGTTTTGATTTGCATTTTCCTGTTTAAAAGTGATGTTGAACATTTTTTTCATATGCCTGTTGGCCATTTGCATTTCCTCTTTGGAGAAGTGTCTTTTTAGCTCTTCTGCCCATTTTTTGACTTGATTATTTTCTTAGTTTTTGTTGAGTCTCATCAGCTCTTTGTAGATTTTTTGTAATCGGTCCTTTATCATTAGTGTTGTGTGAAAAAATATTCTCCCAGTAGGTGGTGTTTCTCTTTGTTTTTGTGATTTTCTCTTTTGCTGTGTAAAGCTCTTTAATTTGATGTAGTCCCAGCTGTTTATTTTTCCCTTCACTATCACTGCTTTGGGCGATGTGTCTGTAAAGATGTCTTTGAGGAGCATGTCATGTAGTTTTTCACCTATATTTTCTTATATGTATTTTTTGGTTTCAGGTCTTATGTCTAGTTCTTTAATCCATTTTGAGTTGGTTTTTGTGCATGGTGTGAGGTAGTTGTCATGGTTCATTCTTTTGCATGTAGCGACCCAGTATTCCCAGCACCATTTATTGAACAAACTTTCTTTGCTCCAGTCCATATTCTTTGCTCCTCTGTCAAAGATTAGTTGACCAAAAATCAGTGGGCTAATTTCTGGATTTTCTATTTGGTTCCATTGGTCCGTGTGTCTATTCTGGTTCCAATACCATGCAGTTTTGATGATTATGGCTTTATAGTATAGTTTGAAGTCTGGGAGTGTGATTGCTTCCATTCCCTTTTATTTTCACCCTCCTGCATTTTTTAAGTGTATGCCAAGGCCTAGTTTCTCTCCTGGGTTCTCCCCTGGTGGCGCATGAGATGCAAGACTCTGAAGCTCTCCGAGGTTGCCTTGGATGTGTTCCTTCAGAAAATCACTGCATGTTAACAACACCCTGTGTGTGGTGTGGGGGGGCGGGTGGCTAGGATTGGGGGTCAGGGTAGAGAAGAGCTGGGGGAGGTACCCCCGTGTGGGGAGGGTGGAAGGCTGTGGGCACTTTGGTGGTTGAAAACGAAGGTGACCACACCTGAGGATTGAGATCCTCTATTGTGCAAAAATAAAGATTATAATATGAGAAGGAAAGGAGGGAGAGACAGAACTTGCATATTGAAATTCTCTGCAGTCCCCATAATTAAAAAAAAAAATCACTAGAGTGCTGGGACTCTGTTCCACCCTGTTTTATTTTTACAGTGGTGATTGGCTTTTTCCCTTTTTTCTTAGTTTATGTCTCGTCGATATTACTGATATTTTTATAGAATAAACTTTTATATTTCATTAATTTCTTTTAGGTTAATCATTTGTTTCTGTTCTCTACATATTTAGTGGGTGTGTGTTGTATGTGGTTAGCTTACTGTTCCTTTTCTAGTTTCTTAAAATGGAAATTGCGAAAACATCTTTTCTGGTTTAGTGTTTAATAATATAAATGTATTGCTTTACCTGTATTCCTTATATTAGTATTGTTTCGTTTTTAGTTTCATTCAGTCCAACTTATTTTCAACTGTTTTTGCAATTGTTTTTCCTGTTTACCCTTGGAATGTGTTCCCGTGCTTTATTTTTCTCTTAAATTGCATTGATTTAACAACTTGGTGAAGTTATAGATGAGACATTCTAAGTTACTGGTTGCTGTTATTTTTCTAATGAAAATATTAATCTACAGTTTACAGAAAAAACTGAGTAAAAATAGTCAATCAGCTGCACATATGTGCGTGTAAAATTCAAGGGACTGCATGAAGTCACTTGTAGAGAGTTTAATGTGAGGAGAGAGACAGGAAAAGCACTTAAATTAATTGTGTCTGTGTGCACCTCATAAAAGTCATGCAAACTTATTGAAGAATATTATAATTTTTTAAATTCCCCTAAGGCTGGCATAAAGCTGGACAAATGGTAGCATACACATTCCATTTCTGCTGAATACACAAAAGACCCATAAATTATCAGTCATCTCAGAGGGAGTCTGCATCTGGGGAATAAAATTAATAGGTTTCTAGTTTTCCTTACAAGTATGTCTCATCTCCAGATACATACTTGACTTCCACAAGAGTCAAAACTGTTTCTACTTCTTGGGAAACCTGACAGCATCACATGAGTTCTGGAATGTCTGGCCTAGGTCTTCTCTTTGCATTTGTCTCTGACAATAGGACCAACTCTACCCCACCTAATCAGGGGTCTGAGGAGATGTCATGAGGCCTTATAAGTGGGGAGAACCTATTACTTCTTGACGCATAATTTTTTTTTAATTAATTGATTTATTTTTTCTTTTTCACCTAGGATGTGACTGACATCATACAAAGGTATGTGTGGGAGGCCAGCGATGGTCTTTTTGTGCTGTGGAGAGATGTTTAATGCTTTTTAGAGTAACCTCGTGTTCACTAACAATGAAGCATCATTGTGGGCAGGGAAATATGGGTATACTTTTGTCTTAAATTTCTGTTTATAAAAAACTGGTTGAGAACGGACCAGATACTACGGAAAGGAATGGGAATGGTAGGAAGCTGACAAGTTTGGGTCAGTAGTAGCTTTAAAGATAAAGCATTTGACAGATGGCCAATGGGCATATGAAAAAATGTTGAGAATCGGTAGTTACCAGGGAAATCCAAATCAAAACCACAATGAGATACCACCTCACTCTAGTGTGACTGTCCCACACCAAAAAAAAAGAAACCGACAAATGCTGGACAGGATGTGGAGATAAAGGAACACTCTTACACTGCTGGGGGATTGTAAACTTATCTTCATCTGATGCAGCGATCCCACTCCCAGGAATCTACCCAAAAAACACAAAAACACTAATTTGAAAGGAAAACTGCACTCCTATGTTTATTTTTATTGCACACTATTTATCAGGATATGGAAACAACCCAAATACCCCAAAATAGATGAATGGATCAAAAAATTGTGGCATAGGGCCTCCCATGGTGGTGCAGCGGTTGAGCGCTGGACTGCGAAGCTGCCTGCAGCCTCTGCAGCGCTGGTTCGATCCCTAACCACAGGGTGAGGGTCCCACTTGTCACGCAGACCTCTCCTGACACGCCCGCTGCTCCCCTCAGCAGTGTATTTTGTCCATCTGCCTGTTCTGCTTTCCGCTCTGGTGAATTCTCTCACCATCCCACATCTCTGACTGTACCCCGTCCTTGTATAAATAAATCTTAAAAAAGTTGTGGTATATACAATGGACTATTACAGGCAAACTATTTGCAGCGATATAGATGGAGCAGGAAAAGGATTATGCTAGCCAAAATCAGTAATCAGGAAAAAGATAAATATCGATGATCTCACTTATGTGGAATGTAAAGAAACCAAATGAAAGGTGGTGAAGTCAAAAGTAGCAAACTGACCATAGATATGAGGCATCCAGCAAAGGAGGGGGAAGGTAGGGGGTCAAAATGGGAGTGACGAACAGTCGCAGATATTGTGATGGTTCACAAGTGACACAGGGTGGCAGAACCATGGAAACTAGAATGATATAAGAAAAAGATAACTAAAAAAAAAAAAATCAAGCCTTGTAGTTATCAGACCTCTGTGACCTCTTAAATTTTATTCACTCTGTGTGCTTCTATCTAGGGTTCTTTCATATCACAGGTGCTTGACTTTCATAGGGGGAAGCCCTGATCTTTTTCTGCCAAGCACCCAGAATTAGCAACAATACCTTTATATCTAAATTTCATAGACCATCTTGTGGGATATTTGGGCCCTGCTGTAAGAAAGTGATTCATCTCCTCACAAGCTCTGGCCCCAGGTATCAAGAGGCAGCATCTTACTTTATATTCATACCTACCTGGCAGCATCGACCTCTTTCTGAACACATAAAATCCAGACCACTGTTTGGCTGGAGATCATCATGTATTTTCCAAGTGGTTGCAATTATTCTCAGAGAGCCTGAGTCTTAAATGTTATTCTGAGGGCCTCCCTAGTGGGGTGTAGAGTTTGAAATCTTGGTTGTCTCCAGGGAGTGTTCCCAAACTTGATGTATCTCAGACACCCATGAGCCACTTTTGGAGCCTTTCTGTTTTTCTCTCTGGATCCCAAATACATATGGTGACTTTTCCCACGTGTTATTTTTTTAAGGTAATTAAGTTTTATTTTGTCAAATCTATTATTACACATATTTTCATATGGTTTGTAGCAAGTAGAGGGAGACATATTAACGATTTAACTTTGAAAGGAAGAAACTGCTCTTGAGAGGTCAAGATGTTCCCAGAGCCGCACAGAGGTAGACATCAGCCCATTTTATTCCTGACTCTGAGGTCAGCATTTGCTCTCTTTTTCCCTTATCGTTTCCAGGTAAGAGTTTAAGTGTATTCCTTGGAGTAAAGAGATAAGTCAGTTTGACACGGATCATGTTAGAGGTGTAGGGATCTATTTTTCTCATTCTAGGTGTTGGGATTTCACTGTGAAGAAGCCAAAAACTTTTCCCGAACAACCAGGACGAGTGTTCCAAGCTCCGGATCTGAGAGCGATGCTGCGAGGGCTTACCGGTGAGGCTTGGTCACCCGGGTGGGCGACTGGGGGGTGTTGCAATGGCAGGGACCAAGTGAGGAAGAAACTCAGCTTTTAGGTGTGGACAGTGATGCTGGGGGCACTGGAGACAGTGGCTGAGGAAATGTCCTGTTGAGTGGGGATCGGCCAGGAGTCAGCACTACCCTTATTTACTAGTTTACTCCCTGCCATAGTTCAGGAATTTCCCTTAATCTGCAGAGGTGATAGAGTTCAGTGCTGTGTCCTTCGCTTAGATTTACCAGTTTAGATTTTTTTTTTTTTAATCATTTCAGACCTGGCAAGTGTGCGATGCTGCTGGGGTAAGGATAAATCTTCGTGCCATCAAACTTCTCCATTCTATTTACTTCATCTTTCTGAATTTTTTGATTTCTAGTAAAGCTCATATTTTAAAACTACTATTTCTCATTCTAATACACAGACTGAGTCTCCAGTGTTTTATTTCTCCCTAAAACCAAAATTCTTTCCATTTCCTGCTAAGTTATTCTCATGATTCTTCTCACAATGTCATGTATAAAGATACTTCATGTCCCTCACCCAAAACTTTAATTTTTCTCAGTTGATGTCACCTTGAATCTGACCAGCAATGGACACAGTGTTGCGATTTCTGCAAATAAGAGAGAAGTGAAATCTTTGTGGGACAATATTCCAGTTACAAAATATCCGAATTACTATTATGGAGATTTTTCTGGTGATAAAAAATATCCGAATTACTATTATGGGGATTACTCTGTCCTGGGATCACCATTTTTCAAGAATGGGAAACATTACTGGGAGGTAGATGTATCCAACAAAAGTTCCTGGATCCTGGGGGTGTGTGGGGAAAACCATTGTAAAAGAAATGTAAATAACCCCCCTAATAACCAAAATATTTATGGTGGATTACAGCCTAGATTTTGCATCTGGGCTATAGGGTTACAGAATCAATCAGAGTATCATGCTTTTGATGATGAGACTCAATCCCAGAAACCCAAGATGTTGTCTCTTTCCATGAAGGTCCCTCCCAGTCGTGTTGGGGTTTTCCTTGACTATGAGGCAGGCACTGTCTCCTTTTACAACGTCACAAACCATGGGTCACACATCTATGAATACTCCAAGTGTGGCTTTCCTGAGAGAGTTTGTCCATATTTGAATCCTCTGAAATGTAAATTGCCCATGGCTATTTGCAAACCAGGCCCTTGAGCCTTCTTAATCCTCATGTACTTACCTGGAGTGCCTTATGCCTTGGGGGCATGAGGCACTGAGCTTATTTCCAACATTCTGCCCCCTTCCTTGCTGGTTCTATTCTTTTGCATTTTGACATCCTTTATGTATCAACAGGATGTATCACTTCCCCTGTGTTAGATTTTTCCTAAATATCATGCACGTTAGGAGAGGCTCTTAATTTATCAATTTCTATTCTCCCGAGGTAAAATGAGGCCTCCTGACCTTTGTCAAATATTTGGTACTGGGAGCCGTGCTACTCATGTCGTCCACAAAGTTGCGGGCATGGGGCAGATTCCTGAAAAGTCAGGAATCTTGTTAGCTGACTCCTTGTTTCTCATTTGTTTATGGCTAGTTTCTACCATTGTTAAAATACACATTTAAAAGTAAAACTGTACATGCTGTTTGATCAGTTACTGAATAAACAATTTGATGGCAAATGGCACTGTGTGATATAAATATTACATTTTTTATAAAATTAGTATCTCTGCCAAAAGACAGCAATTCAACATTTGGCCGATCATTAACAAGTGAAAAACCTGGAAACAAAAGGCTGTATATTTCTCTCTGCATGGTGGTGGTCTTTACTTTTGTGGCATGGACTAAATGGAGAAGGAAATTCTCTTTAAAGATAGCAGTTGGGTGGCAGACAGGAGCCAGTGCTGGGTTGTGAAGTTTCCTGCAGCAGCCTCTGTGGCCCCAGGAGAGGGTCCCACATGGCACACAGACCTGCCGCTCCCTGCTCCCCTCAGCAGTGTACTTCGTCGGTCGGCCTGGTCTCTCCACTCTGGCTCTGGTGAATTCTCTTACCCTCCCTTGCTTCTGACTGTACCCAGTGCTTGTATGTATAAATAATAAATAAATAAATCTTTTTTTAAAAAAAAAAAGTTAAAGATAGCAGTTGGGTGGCAGACCCGAGCCAGGAGGTGCCATAGCAGGCTCCTGCTAAATTCTTCCTGTTTGTTTAGGGCTGATTCCCCTGGAGGTGACAATGGGTATGGTAGCTGTTAGAGTGTGCATTCAAGAATAAGTCAACAGCAATTTTGTAACTGGTTGAGCTAATAATCATGGCAGCACAAATAATGCACTCCGAAGTAGTCAATGTTACAACTACTGATATGTTACTTATTAACCATGTTTGAGAACCAAAAGCTATAACCATCTTTGGCCCTGCCTCTGATACAATATTTGTAGTTGCTCACAACTACAAACAACAATCAGCAATCTCACAGAAAAAGAAATTTTCCCTTGATCTTAAAGTTAGATATGAAAACTAGGCTGACTAGATAAGTAGAGGAGTAATAGGTAAAAAAACCTCTTCTGTGAGATTAGGAAAATGCCTCCCTTACTTGAGAGCTTGGGTCTAGGGAAGAGTCAATGCATCTTCCTTCCCCCAGGTAACTTCCTGTGCTAGTTAATCCTTCACTAAGGTAAACATAGAAAGTTTAGTTGCAGTCACATAAGCTTTTTGCTAGTAATAAAATGACTGGTTGTTTAAGGTAAATGACTATTCTAAGAACACTTGTTTAGCAAAAGTGCCTCCTTTAAATCAAAAAATAATAAAGGTCACGACCTCTGCAGGAGGGCAAATAAACCCTTGGCTGTTCTTGAGAAAGATGGGATTGTTCTCTTCCTGCACTAATGCATATGCTAACACACCCACTTTGCTTAAAGTATATAAATAAAGGGCCTCTGAGACCCTCAGCAGGATATGCCTGCACCCTGATGAGGTGTCAGCATCTCCTCATTCCTCCCTCACCCTCAACCCACAATTGCGCCAACACCCTCCCATCCTTGAGGAACCCCTGACACCCAGGCTGCTGTGGTGGGCTCACAGCAATTTGAGATCTCATTTTCTCTGCCACTGACTGAGAAAATGAAGGTGTTAAATAGAACATATCATAAATGATAGGTGCTAAGAGAGGAAGTTGTGTTCATAGCATTTAAATTCAAGTCTTGTCACTCCATATACCAGCAGTTTATCCTGGAAGAACATACTTTAAAGCTGTGTTAATTTTCTTCATTTTTATTTTATACATTTTTTTTTAAGATTTATTTATTTATACAAGCACTGGGTACAGTCAGAAGCGCGGGAGGGTGAGAGAATTCACCAGAGCCAGAGCGGGGAGCAGAGCAGGCAGAAGGACTGCAGTACACTGCTGAGGGGAGCAGCGGGTGGCAGGAGAGGTCTGCGCGCCATGTGGGACCCTCCTCTGGTGGCCGGGGAGCAGCCGGGGATCGAACCGGCGCTGCAGAGGCTGCAGGCAGCTTCGCAACCCAGCGCTCAACTGCTGTGCCATATAAAAATGTATTTTATACATTTTTTACGTCATTTTTTCATTTTTGCACAATATGCATTTTCATCTTGGTTATAGTCCCCATACAATTCCCACCCCCCTTGTTTTGATCCTACTTCCTCCTCTTCCCCGCCTCTCCCTGGTGTGTCTCTGGTTTATAGTTGCTTGTTGATTTCTTAAACTAATCTTGGTCCAAAAAACTACAACTGCCCCACATTGTGAGAAATGAAACTGTGACAGAGTGTAATCTTCGTAAAAAGGGAGGTTCTGTGTGGCCTGCCTCGCCTAATGAAGGGCAGAGCTAGTGGGGAGGAGAAGCTGAAGACAACTGGGAGGAGAGCCCTCGAGGGGAGACTGGAGGAAGCTTGTGGAGCAGAGACACGTGAAGAAGAAGTCCTGCTCGCTTCTCAGCTTTGGACTTGTACTGTGGACTTGGGGGACACGCAAGGACCCGTGGAATCCGAGACATGGAGAGACACTTGGGAGAGGGGTGGTGGGTGGAGGCCGACAATGGCAGCCATTACCTTGATTTGTACTTTATTTTGCAATTTTTCTTCTAGACTTGCTTGCCACCTGATGCGTATTTTCTGTGGTTCCTTGCCAGAAGGTGCCTTAGACTGGTGGCAAGCTTTGGGCTTCAGTGGCCTGCTTTGGGCCAATCCTGTTTGACTGAAAACTTACCTTGGAGGAGATGAATAACTTGGGTGTTTTATTAGAAAACTCTTAACCCTTTCTTCCCCTATGCACAGTATCCTGTTAATTCTTTCACACTAAGAATATGTATTAGTTTTCTTTCAACAGGATTACTCTGGCTTTGTTTTAAGAACTAGGACTTGATTAAATACTATGTGGTCTTTGAATTTTAGCTAATTATGAAATAAATGTGTAAGATATTAAAGAATTAGGCATAGCGGCCCTCCCGGTGGCACAGTAGTTGAGTGCTGGTTGCGAAGCTGCCTGCAGCCTCTGCAGCGCCGGTTCGATCCCCGGCTGCTCCCTGGTCACCGGGCGAGGGTCCCACATGGCGCGCAGACATCTCCTGCCGCCTGCTCCCCTCGGCAGTGTACTTCGTCATTCTCTCTGTTTTACTGTCCACTCTGGCTCTGGTGAATTCTCTCATCCTCCTGCTCCTCTGACTGTACCCAGTGCTTGTATAAATAAGTAAATAAAAATCTTTAAAAAAAAAAAGAGACCTTTCACTTAAAAAAATAAAAAGAATTAGGCATAGCAAGACAGCAGCCATTTTAAGAAAAACAGACATTCTTAGGGCACAGCTACGCCCTAGTTTCATTTCAAGGCAAAAACCACCAGACTGGGGTAAAAACCACAAGACAAGGGTAAACGAAGCTTAACTAGTGCCAAGGAGAGATACCCAATCAGGCCGAACTTGGTCCATGGTGTGAAAAGTCCCTGCCTCCTGTCAGCAAAGTACAAAAACAGTTGGTTGCTCTGGGAGGGGGTCCCTCTCTCAACCTGATGAGACTGCTGTGTCAGTACACCAGGCAGAGTTGGGCCCTAGCTTAAGCTAGCAATAAAGCCTTTTTGCTTTTGCATCTTTGGCTCCATGTAGTCTTTGGGAGCCACGGATGGAGTTGAGGCTCCAACTCCTAACAAATGGTTCTGTAGAGCTCGCTGGTCTTAAGTTTTTCATTTACCTGCAGTAATTCTATTTCATGGAAATTTTAATTTGAGCTCTGTTTACCCAGCTGCTGCTTCATTACAAGAGTCAGAAGTACACTTTTGGGATTTAACAATGGTGTCAATAATTTTGCCCAGGTCAGCCTAACTTTTGCATTTATGGACAGTATTGCAGAGCTTCAGGCCACGTGCCTGTGCTTCCTGTGATAAGGAGGATGAACTATTTCTGTGATAGGTGATGATTTAGGGCTTGCTGGAATCCTGGTGTCTTTGGCTATTTTTTTCTCAGCTCATTACCACAGAGTTCAGCTAGAAATAAAAGTGCACTGTTGGTCAGATAGTAACTGCTGCGATCCTGCTTGTCCTCCGGAATTCCCCCCTCACCACTTTTGAATGACTTTCGATGACACAGGTTCCAAGGTGGAAAGTTTCTGCGTGTTTATGTGTTTGTACTTATATTTTGGTATGCATTTGTGGGCACAGGTAAAATTGATCAAAGTTTTCCCCTTGCTTTTGCCTTTCTATCACTCCATTGCTCTGACTATGAAGTCTATGCCTCACGAATGCCCACTCCTCCAGTTCCAAATGAAGTAATTAGTTACAGGGAAATAAAAACATGAATTTCGGGCCTCCCTGGTGGTGCAGGGGTTTAAGCACCACACTATGAAGCGATCCACAGCCTCTGCAGCATGAGTTCGATCCCCGGCCAGCCAGGGAGAAACCCACATGGCACAGCAGACCTCTCCTGCCTCACCTGCTGTTCCCCTCAGCAGTGTATTTCGGTCGGTCGGCCTGTTCTGCTCCCCACTCTGTCTCTGGTAAATCCTCTCACCCCCCGCATCTCTGGCCTGTACCCCAGCTCTTATATGCATAAATAAATAAATCTTTAAAAAAACAAAAAACATGAATTTCTATATGCAACTGAAAAGAGCTATATATTGGAAGGTTTCTACTTTTTTATTTTGTTTTGTTTCTCTTTATTTTTTTTAATTTTTATACAAGGGCTGGGGACAGTCCAGAGTGTGGGAGGGTGAGAGGATTCACCAGAGACAGTGGGGAACAGAACAGGCAGACTTAAATATACTGCTGAGGGGAGCAGTGGGCCAGACAGGGGGAGGTCTGTTTGCCATGTGGGATCATCGCCAGCCGGGCTGGATTGAACCCACACTGCCAAGGCTGTAGACAGCTTCACCAGGCAGTGCTCAACCCCGCCACGCCACTGGGGAGGCCTGGAAGGCTTCTACTTTTTAACAGAATCTCCTGGCCTCAGACAACCTTCTGCTGAAAAGAATATGAGACTTTCAATTTGCTTCCAATTACACTCTCTTCTCAGGAAAAGGTCAGAAAACCCTGTGAGTCCCGGGTCAGAAAATCTGAAGTGTGCCAATTGTGGATTTGCTGTCTACAAATCAATTGTAGGACTGTCCTCTCCCCATCACCTCAGAAACCCCCAGCAATGGTCACACCATCTTCTACTTCTGGGGCCAGGACTGTTCTGGGACCTTAATGAGCAGATAAAGTATTTACATGGGAAAGTTTGGCTGCACTCAGGCTAATATCAGTACACAAGAAATCTCCCTACAAGATCATCCATGAACAATGTGGAGGCATCATTGCCTAAAGTTACTGC